CAAGGCTATGTCAATGGAGTGCGAAGTCGAGAGCAACAAACAGTTGCTGTTGAGTGAGCGCGCCAGAAAGCATACCACTAAGAGGCAACTCAGTAAGCACTGATTGCTCAGGGCAACGCCTCCTCCATTTCTTTCAAAGCCAGTGCAAACGCGCGCTTCTCAGCCGGAGCCATTGGCTCTCCTTGTTCAGCGAGTAGTCGTGATGCGACGCTACACGAGGGGTAGCCTTGTTGCGTCCCACGAGTGTCCGAGCGTTTTCCCCAGGAGATTTGACAGACTTGTTTCCCACTCCAATATCATAGGTCTATCAGATGTGCTCTTTCGTGCACCTTATTTGCGGCTCGAAGCAATGCCATCGCCATAACACAGCGCTCTTCAGGTCAGCGCATGCAGCAGCGTTGCAGCGACGCTTTCCCATTGGTTGTTCGCATAGCGCCACAAACGGCGACACGCTATCTGATATGTGGGGTTTAACGTCCCAAAATCACCATATGATTATGAGAGACGCCATAGTGGAGGGCTCCAGAAATTTCGACCACCTGGGGTTCTTTAACGTGCACCCAGATCTGAGCACACGGGCATACCGCAGCCGGTATTCAAACCCGCGACCTGCGGGTCAGCAGCCGAGTACCTTAGCCACTAGACCACCGCGGCAGGGCGAGACACGCTATCTCTAAACGCCGTATATTTTACAGAGTCAGCGTGACCGCCATCATTGTGAACATGAGGAATGCGAGACACCACCCCATGGGCCCCACGGATCTGTACACAACAGAAAAAAATAAAGTTACTTCATATGATTTCCGTCGTGAGGCACTGTATTATGGGTTCTCTCCCCCATGACTGCAAAACACACACAAAGGCTCTGCGATGGGCGAGAGCAGGATAGGGCTACAGGAGAGGGTGGTGAACGGCTGGATCCTCTCTTCTTTCCCCCAATACAAGGTAGTAACCTGGAATTTTTTCCTGGTTAATAGCCTGCCTTTCACTTAACCTTTCTCTATCTCTCTTGACGATTCAATGTTTTCAGTATACATAGGGAGAAAGAAAGTTCTCTAATAAAGAACAGAGAATTGTGCTGGCTTGTATAAATGTGTGCTACCCCGTATAGGAGAAGGGAATTGACAGAAAGGCCCTGGGGCACGGGGCAGGTAAGGAAAAGGGGCAGCGAGCTTTGTGTTTGTGCACATGGCTGGGTTGTCATCATGTGCGCTCTGGCACGTTTCATTAAATGGGGAGAAGTTGTAGTAAACGAGAGTGCCATCTATTCTCCCTGCAGAGTACTAGAAGGGACATTAGATAAATGGAGAGCGATAGAACAGGAATAGTCGCAGATATAGATGCTTGAAGTATGAAGCAGAAATTAATTAGCTTTTTTTACTTTTGCTTGCGCAGATAAGTTGTGCTCTGTGTTTGGTTGCCCTTGCCGACACGAGACTTTTCTAAGCTGGGCAGAAGAGCAGATGGCACGGTACCCATCAGGAAGGTGAGTAATACAAAGTAGAAGCCAGCTCAACCTAACCTGCAAAGTGCGTTCACTAATAAGGAAAAAGTGGAAGATTACCGTTTTACGGCTCTCAAATATACATTGCTGTCATCGTTAATACTGAAAAGCTATGATATATATAATACCTCGTTCCACAAATAAACAGATGAAAGTTTAGCCTTATGAAGCCAACAGAGAGCTCCGAAAGGCGTAGGTCAACGTTACTCGAAGTGTACTAAAACGAAGAAATTACAAAGTACAGGCAAATTAAGGTCAATGAAAAACACACTCGTACAAGCTTGCGAGAAATCTCACATTTCCTTTAAATGAAAAGATTAGTTTCCATTTTCACAGCACAGTTTTACTTTTCTTATTATTTTGTGTTGAAAAGAGTGACATTACTACACTTGCTTTATTTTCAATTCATGTAGTAGGCTACATACTTCCGATGGAGCTGTTCCGTAAAATGACATTTTTGTTTTGTTGTACCCATGGCATACATTGTTGAATATTGTGCATGCCGCCTATCACGGTGTTGTATATTTAAAGGGTACAGAACACCGTCGAGCTGTGACATGGTCAGCCCCCCCAACCACCCCGCCCCTCTTTCTTCTACGTGGAGTAAGAACTGAAACGTGTGAATATCAAGCTCTGCGACGACACTTACCAAGAGGCAGGAGTCTCAAGTGCGCAGCCCGCTGACCTTTCATTAGAAGCCCGCGACCCGCACATGACCGTCTTCTATCCATAATTTTTTATGAGTTTGTGACTCTTCGTGGAGTTGCTAAATGGTGCTCGCACTATTTTTTCGCCTAGCGCGATTAATAACGCTTAGTACATTTAAGCAACACAGACAAGACAGGTCTGAAGCCTTTTTTCTTTTCGTGAGGCACCCCATGCGATAACTTTGCGCTAATCGCGGAACAAAAACTGCATACTTCATGATTGGTGTCCAAATTTGAGTAACAGTGAAGATCGGCATCGATGTCACTCGAATCCTGAGGTCAAAACCTTTTTCAGAAATGACCCATACATGAAATACAGGAAGGGCCTTCATTCAAATGACAACTTCCGCAGACGTTTTCCCCCCGATTACCAATATTTCACTGTACCGCCCCTGTGCAGGTCTTAAATTTGGGATTGCAGCTCGGTAGCTAATGTCAATTTGAGATCCCTACCATAGAGCACAGTTATGATGAGTGTCTGCAGGATTTTTGTCTTTTGTGGGTAGCAAGGGGGGGGGGGGGAGGGGGTTGCAAACCCGTGTTTGCATCAAGGTGAGGAAGGGTGCGGTGTGTGGCTAGAGAGGCGCACCTTTTGCGCCCTCTTGCCAATGCCCACAATGCCTTCTCGCGCAGGTGGACACGAGAGGACGGCAGCGTGTGCGAGTACGAGCCCTCGGCCGACGAGGTTGAAATGAGCGAAGAGCTGGAATACCTGCTGCTTACGTTTCCACGCGAGCCCGAGGGCTGGCTCGAAGAGCTCTACAACGTAGTCAGCAGCTGAAATACATATGTGCCGAGAGATAACAGCACGATCAAAGAGGAATGAAGTGCTCCAAAAGGAACATTTCATTTGTATAAACTTTCTTCCTAATCGTTTCTTTCTATGGATGCACCAAGCGTAATCAAACAAATAAACTATTGTAAGTCTTTGTTTTTGACGTGATGTAAGGAGACATTAGCGCACAAATAAAGCACTGGCTACTCATCCCTTAGAGGTGTCTAACATAGAGCATGTAGGGTCCAAGTCTCGTAAGGGTAAAAAGTCCACACCACATACAATATAGAACTTAGCAAAACACCTTAGCATGATGGTGCGCAAAAAACAATAACACCACCATGCTAAGATGAGTTACCAACTTGCCCAGCAGTCCGTATAGTTCTTGTTCATTCAGAATCACAGTTGAGAGACAATTCGAAACAATGTATTAAACAATCACTTATATGTGCACATACAGTAATGTTATACAAACTGAATAGCAACACACAATAGTCAGCATAATTGTCATAAGTCACATGAATATGCACAGTGACATTAAAAACTTGAATGCGCCAGTAACAGCCAAGAATGCCATTGTCTTCATAAAAAATTTTTACACACGGCTATGCAGCTTTGCGTAGCTACGCAGCCACGTGACTCCCTCCTCCGTAGAAAGAAGGCGCGGCGTCGCGGCGGAACTCTGCAGTCGCGTGCTTCGACGCGTAAATGTGGTCAGGCCTTTACAACAACAAGCGCGCTAGATGCTTCACAGGGAGGGGCAACATGGGGTAACGAAGCAACATCAGCGCACGCCACGATACGCAATCACTTTACCCGATTACGATTCCTGTGCGAGCTAGAGTTGCTATTGTTTAATGAGTGCGGTGCCGAAACGTGGCTACACACTGGGGCAAAAAATGCAGCTATAGTTTAGACGTCGCTCCCGATTTGTCAGCTATCAGCGAATAGCAGCAATCTGTTGCTTAACGACATACAGCTGGCACTCTGCACAACGAAGCAAACGAGGCATATAAAAAGAGGGCGTTGGAGAAAGTGGCAACTTCGCATTCCGCTTGTAAACTTCCTTGTTGAGCCCATCTCTTGCGTCCGCGTAGTCGTGCACTGTGTTAAAATATGTTCAAGTGCTATCACCAACTGGTCCAGCTTTTAGTCTTTTTGCACGACTACAAAATTTGGTTGAACCATTAACAGCACTTTTAACTGTCCGTAGAATGCTTTTTTTTCACACAAGTCTGAGGAAATTGCCCTGCCCGACCCAGCATGAGTGCAGGCCGCAGCGGAAGCTCCCGCTTGAGGGGAATCGGCCCCGCAAGACCACAAGAAGTTCTCTGACCGAAGTCCGACGTGTGGTTCAAAACCCCTTCAAGAACTTATACCGTTTCCTCAGCCCAAATTGTCCCAAAAGCAAGCACCCCCTCAGTCCCCTCGGCACCTACTCAGACCCCCACCTCCTCAGTCCCCTTTATTCATGCCCAGATGATCGAGAGAGAAAAGAATAGGAAGGTGGTATGAAGGAGGGGTTAGTGCCTGTACAATAAGGTTGAAAGCTGGGCTAGTTGGTGACTCATTTTACCACAAGGTAAAATGATCAGTGATCTTACTGTAAGGCGAGAGCGTCGTGTCATTCTTGTCCATTTTAAAAAGTGTGTTCTTTAACCTTCCGGTAAAATGGTAGTGGCCGTATTTGGACCTTCGCTTTCTCCTATAATAATCAGCCCACTACTAGCCTTAACTGATTTAATGTTTCCCATCGGTATTTCTTCAAATCCCAGTTCTAGGAGTGCTTTCTCTTTTTTCTTCCAAAAACAACATAATTGGCATTTGCAAATCCTCAGTTATAATTTACTGTTACCTCATTAGGGCTACTTCGTTACCACTCCACCAAAGTACCAAGAAAAACAATATAATTCACTGCAGCTCACCGTGGCTGCCTTTCCATAACATTCTGCCGTAGATTTTACTGCGAGACACTGCACTGCAGAGCGTATGATGATAGACAACCAACAAGAAGCAAATGTAGCACCAGTTTTAATGCTTTTATCCATAGCATTCCAGACATACATGGAGCACCCCCACAGCACATTATAATGTCAAAAATCCAAAAAATTCTTAATTGCAATCCTACCTGAGCAACACTGACCCATCACTCCCTGACAACCATCACTTATTATGCCTACACATATTAGCTTACCGCACGTTTCAAGTGGATTGCATCACTAACTCTCACGTCCAGGTAAACATGTCTTTGCACATGCCCGCAGAAGTTAAAAGTGCCCTTTGGCAGTGCATAATGAAAATGGTTATAATGATGCATGTAAAAAGCGTTTCTTTAGTGCTTAACTGTTTCTAAAATGATTCATCAGTAACCTGTGGACTGAAATAGTTTAGCCTTACGCCCCCAGAAGTGCACAGTGAGGTACGAGACACATGGTGCACCATCTGGTGATCTTTTCTATTTCTCAAGAAATCTGAGTATATACAAACACTTCTGCATTCTGCTCCAATTAGTACACAACCACAGCGATAGAGAATTGAGTCTGCAACCTTGCTTAGCAGCACAATGCCCCACTGCCACCAAGTCACGAGAGCACGCTCGGTTAGCAGATGAACATTGCAATTACTAGCAGATTAATGAAAGAATAGCCAACACTTCACAAGGGAAAAACAACTACACCTGACACAAATCGTTTTAGCTTGCCATGATTTTATTACAGTCATCACTATGCGAACACTGTTAGCTTAAAGCACGTGCCATCAGTGAGTAGGCCGTCACAAAATGTATATACACAAAAAAGGCTCGAGACACACAATACGCATTATACACGTACGGAAGTTACTGTCCTTTCAACCATTTACACTACACTTCACACTCCACACAATTAAAAAATAGAGAAAGAGAAAGGACACAACAATCAAGCCATGGCTTTGGATTGGTATTCTGTCATGCCTGCCTAAAACACATGCAGACCTCTACAGAAATGTGAGCAAGAATATTGAGAACCTACACTCGCCGAGTCAACAAGCAACACATTTGTATAAACACACAAATGTAAACATGCACTGCATTACTCGTACAAACATTTCAATGGACAACAGTCATTGCATCTAAAATCACAATATAAAAATGGCTGGTAAAGATGCACCCCCTCCAGCCAGGAAGAATGCAGTAACAACTCCCAAAGTAGAAAGTTGCCACTAAGGGTGTAAAAAAATATACTTCAAGATATAAAACATTTGTGCGAGTCAAAAAGAATACGAGTGGTACTTAGCCAAAAGCCAGCAGCAATTAAATGGCCAAAAATTCTGTTTGCACTGAACTGCTACGTGTGCCTCCCCATAGCACAGCACCTACCCACTGCCTTTGGTTTTACTCCTAAAATTAAAACACTTACAACACATTTTACTTCATAATAGACGAATGTACTGGAGACTATAAAGCCACCTTAGATAGTAATTAATACTACAACAGCAACTTCAGTCACAATGCACCCGTGAACCGCATCACAAGTACAGTCCATCACAAGTTAAAGAAATGTGGGGTGTAGCCAACGTCAAGCATGTACAGTGTAGTCAACTCGTAAAGAAAATTTGAGATAGTGGGGCATGAGTCTATCGTTCATTGGTACTGAAATTCAGTGAAAGCTAGCAACAGCAGACATTTCACTATAAGTGGCACTGAATGCTCTGTACTCACCTAATAATGCATCTACTCTGTTTCTGTAAGTAGCCACAACTGGGACCTTTTCACAGTGCAAGCTGTGCACTCTAGTGTTCCCTTAAACCGTCTCGCACTGTGTAGAGGCACAGTCTTTTTGCAGAAAAGTAAAACATTAAAAGCAGCAAGTGTGCAAAAGGCTCGTGTCTAAGCTAAAATGCATTGTACATGGCTGCCGGCAGAAAGTCAGCAGAGCCCAGAGACTGCTTGCAAGTCAAAACTTCACTAAAGCAAGTAGTTTCCCAGCAAATGAATTGTCTTGCTACTTTGTTCTCTTGAACAAAGCTGTTGCTCACAGTATACCGCTTTTCTTTTATTTTTTGTCAAGTGCGAGAAAGGAAAACATGGCTACAAAAAAAGGAACTTACAGAACTGCTGTACCCTTTAATTAAAAGGTGACTAAAACCCTATATACAAAATAATCCTAATTGCTTGTTACCCTAATAACTTTGACATAGCCTAAACAAAAAATCGAGCAAAACATAATATCTTCCAAAACAAGCATACCTTGTTCATCATAAGTTTCCCATTCTTTCACCAAGGCATTCTGAGCTTGCTCTTTCATCCCCCACTTAGATAACCAAGCATTTAATTTAAAAATATTAATTAAAAGCAGCCTTCAACAAGGAAAGCTATGCAGTAACCACGATAGTGTGATGCTTATGAATTTACCGCGAGTGAAACGCGCTAAAGAAAAGTGTAGCATCGATAATTTCAAATCAACATGATACTTTGGGAGTAAACAATGAACAGGTCAACCATGATTACCTTGATTCATGCACTTCGATTGTGCAAAAACGAAAATTGCCTAAGATTAATGTACCTTGTTAAATTTGGCTTTTCACTGTACGCTCTACGCTCTTCAACCATTGTTAGTATACTATATGGCCTTAAATGTATAGGACAACTATGCAGACTGCTCACAAGAATGGCAGAAAATGCCAAGGACAACATTACAATAGCTATTGTTGGAAAGAGTACCGAGGCACTGCGTGAAACAAAATGCCATTCAAGAGTTTCACTGAATCACCACGGAAAGCCATCTCCTTGCTCTATAGAGCTTTTTGACACCTCACTAGGAGTGGGTTACAGTGATCATACATAATGTACAGAAATCAACCAGGCATTTGCACTTTGATGGCAGCTACAAGAGCACATCCTGAGTAAATCTTTAAAATCAATTCCACTCCCACCATCACCATTAAAAAAAAAAGATTGGTCGACATTCGTAATCTGCTGGTACAAGGGGAGCAGCATACACTACAACATCTTTATCATTATGCCATTCATTAAAACATGTTAGAAGCTTAAAACTTCTAACTTGCAAGAAAGTCCAGCACAAGGATGAAGACAAGAGGGCTCTCTTGCAAAAAGCCCCAATGAACCACCTTCGACAACATTTAACGGCGTCATGACCGACGAGAGGGGCTCTGTTTGGTTGCGATGAGGTTCTTGTTCGTGTAGTACCTACCCTCTGCTTTAAAGCCCAAACAGAGCCTTCATTTCGTCCATGCTTTCTTCTAGTGTCTTCACAAACCTCTCAGAATTTGTGCTAGCACAGGATTTCTTTGACGAAACATGAAAGAAGATCTTGGAGTTGTTCGGAAAGATGTAGGACACTCCATAGCCGTCGTCGGACACTGGTCCAAAACCACCTCCTGGAGAAATCTGCAGAGTAGGTGATGAACAAATTCCAGATTCCCCAATTGACGGACTGATTGATTTATTGATCGATGGGACGACATGCACTGAAGCAGTTACAATTATAGGCACTGAGGTGAAACACACAGAATTACCTTTCGCCGTCTGGTGTTCCAGACAATGTACGTGATAGGCATAGAGTTTCTCACAAACATACCTAGAGGGAAGTGCGACGCCACCGTCTATGCGAATTTCTTAAAGGGGCTCTGTGACACTTTTGGGACAGCCTTATTTAGCACCGAAATGCGTGTAGTGATGATTACTCAGACGAATGCAACAAGAATGATGAAAATCGGTGCACAGAAAGTGAAGTGATGAGTCCTCAAAGTTCATAACTCGAGCAGACAACGAGAAACATTCTCTCTCAAATTTCACTCACGTGCTAACGTCAAAGACCGCTTCCAATCACAGCAGCGCGTCTCATAAAAACATTCCGGAAACGTCACCTCATGGTGGCTTTCACACAATATCTTGCTACCACTCTTTCTGACGGCATCTTTAGCATAGTTACTATGAACCATGTGCGTCGGGTAGCAGACGCTCCCACGGTCACGCTGTGTAAGATACACACATACTCTTTGGGCGGGGTCGCTTCTCGGCTTGCAAGCAAGAAGCGTTCTAGAGCAACGCCGTGCGCCCACTACCTGTTGCATTTATGGCCCGCCTAAAAATGTGGCATGCGTTTGCCGCGAAACCATAGCCTCGTTCGCAGGCTAAGTATTCTGTTCATTGTTCTGAAAATACATCATTTCAAACAGGAATGATTTCTTTCTGAGAAAGCATAAAAAAGGTTCTTGCTGTTTTTAGCATTCACTCGTACAGCCTAGCTACCACCATATGAATATTGCACGCTATTTCTCGCATCAAGCCAATCAAAAACAAACGGCGTTTGTCGTCATGTCACATTGACACGATGTCACTTCCCATAACAAAAATAGCCGATGTGTGTCTCTGTAGTCTGAAATCACGGTAGTTTGTCCCATGAATTTGAATTATAACAGCGTCGATTTCACCGTTGCCATGTGCGCGACGAGATCGGCGCATTCCACCGCACCAGCAGAACCAATAAAAAATATGTGCTCGAATAGTGTCGCAGGGCCCCTTTAAGGAGCCTCATTGAAGCGCTGGGAATGACCGTATATGTGTCTGCGAGGCTTTTGTTGGCTGGTGTTGAGCAAGGCTTCGGCTCAAAAGCGAATACGACTATGTAAATAAAGCTTCCCTAAAGCAAACTGTTTATAAGCAGATCTCATTCACGCGTATTATATTCTAAAATAAAAGTCCGCTCACCTTGACGGCACAACCGAATGGGGAAAGAAAGAAACAGACGACATAAAAGTGTGCGAGTGAACGCTCACTTTGTTGTCTGCCTGCCGAGTTTAGCGGCCGTTGGTTACTTCTTTTGCTTCGTGAAATTGTACATCGACGCAGAGAGTTTCAGTGTTAAGTAAAACAGGTTTCTGTTCAATGACAAAAATAAATAGCTTATTACGTGCTCTCTTACTAAGAAATCAATCATTCTAACGTCAGGCCAGACGCGTCTTTGACGTATACAAATCTGAGTCAAGTTCGAAGCTCACATATCTCGTTATCCCCTTGCATCCAGCAGCTCACTAGTGCCAGATTTCCCTTTAGGCGAGTTTGTGAGAAACTCTAAGATAATAGGTTCACGGGCATTTTGTTTTCTTTTTCCCTTATCGAAATGCAGAAACGAGAATGACACTCTGAAGTGTCACTACATGCTTTGGTTTTTGCACACAACGCTTACGCTAGCACTTGAACTACGCTATAAGCAGTATACCACAAGAAGCAGTTTAAGGCAGAGATCACAGCTTTTTAGAATGGAATGCATGTTTCAATGCCAATACTCAGTCTAGACCTACAGAATTCTGTAGAATAACCAATAACGGGGCATTAAATTTGAAGGAGATATTGTGAGTACAATCAAACCTCGTTAGTATACACCTGCTTTAAGCGCACTAACAGTTAAAACGTAGTTGCAACAAATCCCCAATCCAAGTCATCTAATGCATTTTCAGACCGCTTAAGCCGTAGTGTTCGGCTTATGCCTACAGGTTAGTGTGTACTAACTGGGTACTGCGATAACATTTCACCCCACGAAATCTTACTGCAGCTGCTGGACTTAACGATGCCCCAATGTGTTGTGAACAGTTTTCTATCATGTTGATAAGTGCGGAGATCAGCGATTCTGACTTTCCGCACGATTGCGCCGATGACATTGCGAGTAATCATCGGGAAAAAATGAAGGCGACGTGGCGACCCTGCACAAGTGCACCGGTATGACTTATCGCCAACGAAAAGCCTTATCACATTAAGCATCCCTCGTTATCTGCTTGGGCACATGTGTGGCATAACGTCACTTTAGGCCTTGTAACTGAACACGCTGGGCCGCCAATCGCTGCCGCTTCATTGTGCGGGACTGTGTTCAAGCGCGCACTGCTTTCCAGAAACACAAGCAGGTCACGGGCACCGAGAAATCTTGCTGCATTATGCCAACACGCGCACCGTACAGAAAGCGTAGCGCTGTTGGGACCATTCTGCACCCTTTTATTGAGAAACTGCCCAAACACCTCTGTCCACTGCCAGGACTTCTAGAGCATCACGGAGAGCGCATTACTTGTGGAAAGCTCATCGTTGCCGTATTAACCCAGCAGGCTACTAGCCGCATTTGTGTGCTGACCTGTAGCAGAATGGGCGTACTCTACAACAAGCGGATTGGCAGTCACAGTGTGTGCACAGTAAGCGAAGCCCTGCACGTAACTAGCCATGCAGCAAACGATTTGACTCTCTGCGGCCGTACTGCAATTTAAAAGAGACACACGTTAGTTTTCGCTTAGAAGCAGACACCAAAACAACTGTATCAGGGACAGTCCGGTCAATTGTACCCGTTCTGTCGCTGTAACATGCTGTGTATCCCGGCCACCGCAGTAGTTTCGAAGTGCTCCTTGGCGTCACCACCACATGCTATCGGGCGGTCGTGCGAGAGTCAGAATATTTTCTGCACTTTGGCAAAAAGAAAGAAATGGCTTTGCGGAGGCCACTTTAGGCAGTATTTCTTGTGGCACTGAATTTATTATATTGTTGGCCGTGATGGTGCATGTCAGGAGATGCAAATTTGTAGCTGGTGGTTAATACGTAGTACGTTTAATGTGTAGTTACCCCACCGTCCCAGACAGGTATGTATATACAGGGTTTCACTGCATCTGAAATTTTTATGCTCTGGTAAGATTACACCATCACTGAGCATGAAATACGAGCTTTTTGAATTGCAGATACCAAAAAATGGGAAAGAGTTACAAGTTAGTACTTCATCTTGTGCATCAGAATGGTCACAGCATTACATTCGTTTCAGAAGCACCAATGCACAGGGTTAAAGCCGTCTTATTATACACAAGTGCGATACATGCCATATTCATAAGCTTTACCAGAACAAACGGGACATGCGATGTTTTGGGGGGCTACTAATGTGTGCTGCTATAGGCCCGAAAAGAAATATACTCTGATCCCGAGCAACCAACCCCTTCAATGAGCAGTAAAGACTTGCCTTGTTCCTGAACACTTCCAGGTCTGCATCAGGAGAGTAATCCAGCTGTGTGTGAGGGGTCTGGCTTGTGGACAATGTCCAGGGACGCATAAGCACGTTGGTCAGAAATTCACTTTCCTGCATGAAAAGTACACAAGACAACAGGTTCAGCCCCGGATCAAACGATCAAACAGCAGACCTAGGTGAACTTGCGACTAAAGAATACATCAGAAACATATTCATACTTTTAAACTCTCTTTCATTACTGCGAGAACAATGGTCTTTTTCATATGTTTCAGAAAGAACATTTTTGCCAGTTTGAAAAGTATTCCAGCATGCATTGTGTACAAAATTATGCGTAATGAAATGCTCTTTCCAAAAAGTACTATAAGTTGTAGAACAACAAAAATATTTTGCAACGTATAAAAATTTGAAATTTCTTGCCAGCTTACAAGCAGAGCAATAAAAAACACTATATACTCAAAACAGAGGAAATTCAAAATATTCATTTTGGAAATAAATGATGGAAAATTATGAAAATATTAATACTCTAGTCTACACACTGTTAATGTTTCTATTGTTAGTACGCCTTTACCAGTGAGCCGAAGACACTTTTATTGGGGGAAACGCAGAGGTAAAGCTGACCAGCTGTCAAGCGGAGCGAGTGTGAGCAGCAGCAACACTCTTCCTTCTCTTCTTTCACTGGTGCTCCTGCCTGTGCCATATATCAATGCTACAAATCACTCCGCCCCAGAAAAGGAGCCATCCTGGCAACCTATGGACTGGGTAGGATAGGTGGGTCGTAGTGCTGTTTCAATCGATAAACATGAACAGTCTCGCGACCACGACGGCGTCGATCTGTCGATAGTTGAACCGGCTCAACAATATAGTTAACCGGTGAGGACTGACATAGGACTCTGTAGGGGCCTTCGTACTGCGAAAGTAGCTTGGTGGAAAGACCAGGAGCAGATAACGGAACGCGAAGCCATACCAACGTGCCAGGTGAATATGACTAGGGGGGCAGGTTTTCATCGTGACGATCCTTCTGGTACACATGATCTTGTGCGGTTAAGGAACGTGCGAGTTGCCTGCAATCTTCCGTATAGGTGGCGACTTCGGATAGTGTTGTGGATTCTGAAGCGCCAGGATGGTACAGGAGAATCGTGTCATGAATGAAAAATGTTCGCGCTCATAGAGGAGAAAGAACGGAGAGAATCCTGTCGTAGACTGAGTGGCACTATTGTAAGCAGTAAGTAACAAAAGAGAGTATGTGATTCCAGTTCGTGTGGTCAACGGACACGTACATAGACAGCATGTCGCCCAGTGTGCGGTTAAACTGTTCGGTCATTCCATTCGTTTGCGGATGATACGCGCTGATTGTCCGATGCACAACGTTGCATTCACGAAGAAGGGCTTGTACGGCTTCGGAAAGAAACGTACGTTCGCGGTCCCTGAGTAGCTCCCGAGGCGCGCCATGGCAATGAACAAGATTGTGAAGAATAAACAAGCCAACTTCACGTGATGTGGCCTCTGGCAGCGCAGCAGTTTCAGCATAGCGTGTCAAGTGATCGATAGCAACAACCACCCAGCGGTTTCCGTCAGGAGTGTAGGGAAGGGGACCATACAAGTCAATTCCAATGCGATCAAAAGGTCAGGATGGGCAAGGCAACGGCTGCAGTTGTCCATTGACTATGTTCGGTGGGCTTTTTCGACGTTGACATTTGGAACATGAACGTACGTACTGTCAGACAAATCTGTACATTCCGCGCCAATAGTACCACAGCCGGAGGCGTGCATACGTTTTTATCACACCAGCGTGGTCGCATTGAGGATGCGCGTGAAAGGAGTCGCAAATAGCAGCACGTAGGTGGCGAGGAATCACAAGCAACCATTTGTGGCCGTCGGAAAGGTAGTTGCAACAATACAGGAGTTCATCGCGGATGGCAAAATGTCTAGCTGTACATCAAGTGAACGATTGGCGGTACCTTGGGGTGGTTGAGACAGTACCTCTATCATAGAGACTATCCAAGCGTCTTGGCGCTGCTCGGAGTGCATGTCAGTGAACGAAGGTGCCGCGGCATCGAGATTGGAAACAGACGCACTTCCATGTTCATGGGGCAGTGGAGAGCGGGGAAAAGCATCGGCATCTGAATGTCGGCGGCCCGACCTGTAGATGACACGGATATCATAGTCTTGGCGACGAAATGCCCAACGAGCGAGACGACCAGACGGGTCTTTTAGTGACGATAACCAGCAGAGGGCGTGGTGATCAGTCACGACGTCAAATGGACGGCCATAGACGTAGGGTCGAATTTTGTGATTGCCAACAATGGCCAGACATTCCTTTTCTGTGACCGAATAATTCTCTTCAGCCCAAGTAAGAGCGCGACTGGCATAAGAAACCACATACTTGTCGAAGCCAGACTTGCGTTGAGCAAGAATAGCGCCAAGACCGACTCCACTAGTGTCGGTGTGGATTTCGGTAGGGGCATCTGGGTCAAGGTGACAGAGAATCAGTGGAGATGTCAGCAAATGATATAGTTTCGCAAATGCGTCATCGCAAGCGGAAGACCACGGCGAAATTCCTTCACTATCAGAAAGTAGCCGTGTTAAAGGGGCTATTATGGATGCAAAATTATGGACGAATTGACGAGAGTATGAACATAGCCGATAAAAGCTGCAGAGTTCCTTTAGTGTCGATGGCTTAGGAAACTGGTTGACGGCACAAAGTTTTGCAGTGTCAGGTAGAACACCATCCTTGCTGACAACATATGCCCTAAGATGGATAGCTTCCGGGCGGTAAAATGGCACTTTTTCAAATTTAGTTGGAGCTCAGCCTGTGTGAGGCATTCCAGGACACTTGCGAGGCGCAGAAGATAGGTATCAAAGTCTTTTGAAAAAACGATGACATCGTCCAGATAGCAAAGACACGTCTGCCATTTGAGGCCTCGAAGTATGTTGTCCATCAGACGCTCGAAGGTGGCAGGGGCATTGCAAAAACCGAACGGCATCGCGTTAAACTCGTACAAGCCGTCCGGAGTTACAAACGCAGTCTTGGCGCAGTCAGATTCATCCATGGGTACTTGCCAGTATCCTGACCAAGATCCAGTGAGGAAAAAAACTCAGCTCCCTGCAAACAGTCGAGAGCGTCGTCAATTCTGGGGAGCGGATAAACATCTTTGCGCGTGATCTTGTTAAGGCGCCTGTAATCAGCACAGAATCAGATGCTCCCGTCCTTCTTTTTGACCAGTACCACTGGGGAGGCCCCCGGACTGTTGGACGGCTGTATGACACCACGATTGAGCATATCAGACACTTCATAGCCAATAACTTGGCGTTCAGAGTGAGAGACCCAATATGGACGCTGACGCAATGGTGCGTGGGCGCCGGTGTCTATACGATGACCAAATGCAGATGTTCGGCCCAAATTGGTTTGTTTGAAGTCAAAAGACGTCCAAAAGCGGTCGCAAAGTGTCAAGAGTTGGGTTCGTTGGACATCAGGAAGGTCCGAATCAATCGATGGAAGGAACGCGTCCAAGGAAGATGTGGTGGACGTGGGAGCGGGAGTAACACTGGCGATCTAAAGACTTGTTGCGCGGTCGAGCTGTTGACAGGTGCAAACACAATGTCCTCAAAACGGCCGATGCATTCGCCACCGAATAATTTGGCTGGCACTGAAAGGAGATTCATGGCGTAAATGGTTGGGGAAGTGCTTTCGACCATCAGAAGAGCAAAAGGTAGAAGAACGTTTTTTCGAGAATAGTCTTCAGACGGCGTGAACATGACGTTCGAAAAAGCAGCATGGTTGCAGGAGATCGGCACAATAACCAAAACATGGGTGCGATATCCGTTTCTGCGGCGACGACAACACGAGAAATGGAAGGCTTGTTGGAATCGTCATCAACGAGTGATGATAATTCCAGTTCGGTCCGGGCACAATCAACAACGGCATGTGTGGAAAGGAAGTCCCAGCCTAATATCACGTCATGTGGGCAGTATGGAAAAACGTTGAATTCGACCACATACAGAACGTCCCGGATGAATAGCCGAGCCGTGCACGTCATTTAAGGGTTTACATGATGCGCGGTTGCCGTACGCCGGGAGAAGCCAGAGAGCGGAATCGTAACTTTCTTTAACTTGCGACACATTGCAACGTCGGCGTGGGGAGGGCGATCGATGTTGATTGAAGGCGCGGCAGCTCGGTGAAGGGGTATCCGAAATAGCATCGAGAGGCAGCGTCTATGGTGGCTCTTTGTGAACGTAGCCATACGTTTCTTCGATGGTACCTGGATGAGGGACGCGCCAGCGACAGAACTGCTCAACATGGCCAGGCAGATGACAGTAGTAGCAGATGGGTCTGTTATCCGCTGTGCACCAAGGATTGTTGGGAAGCATTGAAGGACTGCGGGAAAGGGGAACATGCGAACCTGATGGTACGCGTGTTGCGTAAAAGGCGTTCGTTTGGTGGGCAGAGTCAGTCGACGTTTGATGGCACATGTGCCGGCCTTCGCCCGACGTCAGCGTAAGTTAGGGGAGCGGACACAGGCGGTGGCTGGTACGTGGACGAGAGTGCCTCGCAGACTTGCTCTTCGATGGTTTGGCGCAGCCACGAGGTCAGCCCTGTGAGTATTGCTGGGAAGGAAGGGCGCAAGAGACAACTAGGCGAGCTACTCCTCTCGGATGACATGTTGGATTTGTGGCGTCAATACCGTCTGTTCTGGTGAAATTGCACCGAATGGTCAATAGTGACGTGGTCGTCATGTCGAAAGTAGGGCGTCGCGTTGAAGTGCGCTGTGTTCGCAACTCATCGTAGTTTTGGCAGTGCTGAATAACTTCCGCAACTGTTCGCGGGTCTTTCGCCACCAGCATGTGGAAGGCATCATCTTCGATGCCCTTCATAATATGTTTGACCTTGGCTGTTTCGGACATGTCGGGATTGTAGCGACGGCAGAGGCCCATAACGTCCTCGATGTAGGACGTGAAACCCACTCCAGACAGTTAGGCGCGATCAAGCAAGCGCTGTTCTGCGCGGAGCCTGTGCACTGTTGGTCGGCCAAACACGTCCGCGAAGGTGATCTTGAAAGTGGCCCAGTCGGTAAGCTCAGCTTCCCGGTTGTTGAACCAGAGCTCCGCTACTC